GGGTACTGTGCCAAAGCAAAGTTATTCAAGGTCAAGGGGGGAATTTGAAATTTCACAAACTTTGGATAAATACTGGAGACCCAAAAAGAAAATCGTCACAGTACCATCTGCTTTACAGTTGCTCACTAGGAGACTCAGTAGCCATGCCGTTAAGGTCTGAGTATGACTTCTTTTGTGCCTTTTCCAAGTCAAAAGAATAGGCTTGGCTCTGAACCTATTTATCTTTGATAAATCCTGGAAGGAAAACAAACCACTTGGGCTCTTCCATAAATAGTCTTTTTTAAAAATCAATGAAAATAAAGTGCATTTTCTCTCTCTCCTTGTTCCTGAGACATTGGTGCAAATAAGCCCAGTTTTCACCACTCCATCCCATGATGACATGAAGAATTCCACCCAGACACTCAAGGTTTTCCTTCAAAAGGATAATGGAGCCTCACTCTGCTTCTGTAGCTTACCCCAGGGTTCAGTAAAGACCTTATGAAGAGTAGCATGCCCATTCCTTCTCAAATATAATAGGAGGTGGAGAGTCTTACATAAGAAGTGGAAAATGGTTTCTTTGCTGCTTGATTTCTCTGTTATTTGCTGTCTCAATCTTTTTTAAAAAATACATTTATTTGTTTATTAGGCTACACTGGGTCTCGGTTGTGGCATGCAGGATCTTTAGTTGTGGCAAGCAACCTCTCAGTTGTGCCTGTGGGATCTAGTTTCCTGACCAGGGATCGAACCCAGGCCCTTGCACTGGGAGTATGGAGTCTTCTTAGCCACTGGACCAGGCTATCTCAATCTTAGATGGAAGATTTCTATTATAAGATAAATACATCCTTCCCTCCCACTCCACATCTTAGAGGTTGTGAAAAAGATGAGAAAAATAAATGCATAATGAGTATAAAAAAGAGAGACTCTTGGTAGATCAGAAACTGTGAAGAATTTCTGGTCTGGAAAAAAAAAAAGAAAGAAAGCCACTAAGAGGACATCGAAAAAGAAAAATTACCCTAAATTACAGGTCATGGAGGACGTAAAAAAAAGTGGGGGCTCCACACTTAACAAGGGTGGATACGGGGTAACAGGGGCCTGAGGGTTTTTGCAGATGGAATTACAGATGGGTTTTTGCAAAGGCTGAGCCCACATAACACCTTCCGTGGGCCGGCAGTGTTCGTCCAGCAGGACCGGGAGGTGCGCGTCGAGAGGGCAGTGCTGATGGGACTGGCGTGGGAGGAGGTGCTGGGACCGAAACCGCGCCTCTGACGGACGAGTCCCGTGCACATCCTCCTGAGAGCTGGCCCTCCGTGTGTACTGACAGATGAGGCCACGGCTGTGCGCCTCAGTCCTGGCTCGTTTACGCCACATCAGTGATAAATGCTTCCCCAGTGAAGGCATTTCACGCGTTGCTCATTCCACATAATCTCCTATTCTCCCTCTATGCTTATATGTGCATCTGCCATTATTCCCGCTTCTTCATTGTTTCAACCTCTTCTTTCATGTATTCAATTCCGTTTACAAACTTTGTATTTACCTCTCCAAGTGTTTTTGGCTGCACTGGGTCTTCATTGCGTGTGCAGGCCTCTCACCGCGGGGCCTCCTCTGGTTGCAGAGCGCCGGCCCTAGGCTCACGGGTTCGGGAGTTGCGGTTCACAGGCTTAGTCACCCCTCAGCATGTGGGGTCCTCCGGGACCAGGGATCAAACCCACGTCCCCTGCATGGGCAGGTGGATTCTGAACCACTGGACCACCAGGGAAATCCTCAGTTTTTATTGGGTCACTAACATGCTAAATTCTGAGGCTATACAGATGAGTAAGATACACTCTCTACTCTCAAGAATATCAGCTGAGTAGGAGAGACAGAGACAAACTAGGTGACTCAAATAAAATATAATGGAGGCTATAATTCATGGGTGTCTAATGTGTTGTGAAAGCAAAGAAGAGGCTAATAGTTCTTCCTGGGGACCATTCCACCATCACTGTCCCCTAACTGACCATACTATTGAAGGAGAGTGCAAATTTTATTATGCGGTATCTTATTAGACACAATCTTATAATACTCAACCCAAATTAAAAAGAAAACGTGAATTTAAAGGCTATTTTTTAACTTATGCAAATATCTTTGAAGCAGCCTAGGATTTTAAAAAAAAATCACCAAAGCACGTGGGACAAATAAGTGAAATAATTTGACTACCAGATGCGGTCATTCTTAAGTTTTACTTGTAGCTTTTGCGTAACAAGTTACCTATCAGCTCCCATAAAATATAGTTGCTTCAATTATTATAACATAGCAACTTCCAACTTTGTTAAGTCATTCATCTTTTTTAGCTTATTTATTTATCTATTGATGTGAACCAATTTTAAAGTCTTTGTTGAGCTGATTACCATCTTGCTTCTGTTGTTTATGTTCTGGTTTTTTCTGGCCATGAGGCGTGTGGGGTTCTTAGCTTCCCAGACCAGGGATCAAACCCACACCCCTTCATTGGAAGGTGAGGTCTTAACCACTGGACCACCAGGGAAGTCCCCGTCCTTTCTTATTAACCTATTCTTTCTCCTGTGTATCTCTAAGTTAACATCACCTGATACTTTGCTGTGCAGACAATACCTGCCTCTCACAATCCAAATTTTCTGTTAAAATGTTAATCCAGTTGCATTTAGCTTTGGGGTATGATGAAGCACTTGCTTATAGCAGAGCACAAAGTCCTGTGGCTGTCTTACTGGATTCAGAAATCGGCGAGGGTTAAACCTTGCCTCCATCTTACAAGAAATAAACAGCTTGACCTCTGACACCTCACGGAATTGACGTGTACCCAGGAGGAGCCTCTCCTTGGCACTGAACCTCTCTCTCTGAACCACTTGGGAAGTCAGAGCCTCACATCTGCTTTGATTCACGATGCTGGACTCGAAAAACATTTTGTTGGTCTGTTTTTTGGTGTGGGAATTTAGTGTGCTGTGGTCACCCTGGACAGATTAAATACTTGTGATGTTTCCCATTAAGTTGTTGACTTCCTGCAGCTGTTGAAAAATCTCTCATTAACACTGGCTTCCAACGTCAGAGGCCAGGCCCTCCTCTTAATCGTTTGCATCTTGCTGTCACTGCTGCGTGGAGGCGGCAAATGCACACACATGTCCAGCCAGGCTGGCCATTTGGAAGTTTGCAGGTCCAAACTGATATCATGCTGTTCAAAAGAGGCAGCTGAACAAAATGATCATCCCATTTTGCTTCAAAATTAACTCAAGAAGTTTTGCTTGGAGTGCGATCAAGTACGACCTCTCGTGCTCTTTGCTGTTGATCTTCAGTCGCTTCAGTTCAGCTCAGTTCAGTCACTCAGTCGTGTCCACTCTACGATGCGATGAACTGCAGCACGCCAGGCCTCTCTGTCCATCACCAACTTCCGGAGTCCACCCAAGCCCATGTCCATTGAGTCGGTGATGCCATCCAACCATCTCATCCTCTGTCGTCCCCTTCTCCTCCTGCCCCCAATCCCTCCCAGCATCAGGGTCTTTTTCAATGAATAAGCTCTTTGCATCAGGTGGCCAAAGTACTGGAGTTTCAGCTTCAACACGAGTCCTTCCAATGAACACCCAGGACTTATCTCCTCTAGGATGGACTGGTTGGATGTCCTTGCAGTCCAAGCGACTCTCAGTTGCTTCAGTTGTGTCCAGTTCTTTGTGGCCTCGTGGACTGCAGCCCACCAGGCTCCTCTGTCCATGGGATTCTCCAGGCAAGAATACTGCAGTGGGTTGCCATTCCCTTCTCCAGGGGAATCTTCCTGATCCAGGGATCGGACCCGAGTCTCCTGCATCTCCTTCATCAACAGGTGAATTCTTTCCCACTGAGCCACCAGGGAAGCCCTCTTGTGTCCTACCGTTGGGGAACGTGAGAATAAAAAGGTACTGAAGGGAGTCATGCAGTTAAGTCCATATTGATGCCTTCAGGTCAGGTGACCAAGGATTGCTGGAGCATCTATAAAAATAAAATAAGAGGAATTCTTTGTGGAAAGAACATAAAAAATGGAGCTGGCACCAAAGTTTATTTTTGGTTTGGCACCAAAATAAACTGGATCCAGGCAGGCAGAACAGATCTGGGGTTTCGTCCTGTACTTTGCATTCTTAGAAAACCACAGACAGCTCTAAGGACTTCTAATTCTGCTGAGGTCCCACCGGGAAGGCCCCAAAGAGAGGCTCTGAGGACAGCAATCACGGAGACGTGAGGTCAAGCTGTGGGGCTCGTGGTCAGGCCGCGAGGGTCACTCCGTCCCCTCATCAGGTCACCCTACTGTGACTTCTGTGGTTTGGTTTATAAATGCCTTGCCCACCTTCCCACCCCCGTTTACACACCTTTGCAAACAATAAAGCTGCCCTTTTGCTTTAAGACAAACCTAACACCTGTGCAGGATTTACTTCTAATTTAGGACAACACAGTCCTTAAAGAAAAGTGTTTATCACTTGCTGTCAGGCTGTGTTCTACAGTGCTGTGACCAACATTCCCGAGATCGGCAGCCTCTGAATTTAGGAAAAGTGATTATCACTCGCTGTCAGGCTGTGTTCTACAGTGCCATGACCAACGTTCCCGAGATCGGCAGCCTCTGAATTTCTCTCCACCTACCTACCTCTGCCAGTTAAGTGTTCTTTAAATGTGGCAACTGAGAATATTTTGTTCAGTAACACACTTCACTCACCGACTCCTTACGCTTGTGCCGGTCAAACGGCCCCACGGTGTCCCGGATGTGGCCTATTCATCTTTGAGTCCCAAGCAAACATTGATGAAGATCATACTGGAGATGCTTGATGCAGCGGACAGCACAGTCCTCACCCTCTGCACGGACGGACCCTGAAAACAAGGAGGTAAGAGCAGGAACTCAAGAAACAGATTCACAAGGGGAGCTGAGCCTGCTGGTACTCACGGTGGACTCTTGACCGACCCCAGGGTCGCCCCAGCCGGGGCGGCTTTCTGCTCTCCACCCTCGTTCCTTGGATCTTCACCCCAGACCACCCTCCAGCTCGGACTGCCCCTTTCTCATGCGCAACAACCACTGTTCCATCGTAGGCACCTGCAGCATCTTCATCCTTTCCTCGGCTGGCGGACATTCAGGTTGGTTCCATGCCTGGATCGCCACCATTTTTAACCTGTTTCAGGCAATCGGTTAAACAAGTGCAGTGAGTAACGACACGCTTAGATGGCTATGAGCGTACAGAGAAATCACTGAGCGGAGGACGGGGCCTGGAATAAGGACACAGAGCAGGTGAATCGCTCTTTCACCCAGAGTGGTTGGCGCATCAAGTGAGATCCAGGCCAAGACATGAGGAAGGTGAGGAAACAAACTGCGTGCGGGAGGAACAGGAGTTCCGGGAGGACGGTGTCCTGGGAGCGTGCCTGGGAAGGGCAAGGGACAAAGGACCGTCGGTGGGGGCGGCGCTGAAGAGGAAGGAGAAGAGGGCCAAGGTCAGGGCAGGAGGGGGGCTGCAAGTGCTTAGACCTGGACTCGAGCAGACGGACAGTCCCTGAGGAGGCTGAGCCCGATCTGACACGCTGGACGTGTTTTGAAAGGGCCCCTCTCACTGCGGTGTGAGCAGTAACCTGTAAGCCTTAGACACGGAGAACTGAACTCCTCTGACACCCGAGCAAAAGTTGTTTGAAATGGACAGTAGCCAGAGACTCGGGAAAGGAGTACGTCAAGGCTGCATATTGTCACCCTACTTATTAACTTACATGCGGAGTACATCATGCAAAATGACGGGCTGCATGAAGCACTAGCTGGAATCAAGATTGCCAGGAGAAATAGCAAGAACCTCAGATACGCAGGTGATATCACCTTTGTGGCAGAAAATGAAGGAAAACTAAAGAGCCTCTTGATGAAAGTGAAAGAAGAGAGTGAAAAAGTTGGCTTAAAACTGAACATTCAGAAAACTAAGATCATGGCATCTGGTCCCATCACTTCAGGGCAAATAGATGGGGAAACAATGGAAACAGGGACAGACTTTATTTTTCTGGGCTCCAAAATCACTGCAGATGGTGACTGCAGCCACGAAATAAAAAGATAATTACTCCTTGGAAGAAAAGCTATGACCAACCTAGACAGCATATTCAAAAGCAGAGACATAAGTTTGCCAACAAAGGTCCGTCTAGTCAAGGCTATGGTTTTTCCAGTAGTCATGTATGGATGTGAGAGTTGGACTATAAAGAAAGCTGAGTGCTGAAGAATTGATGCTTTTGAACTGTGGTGTTGGAGAAGACTCTTGAGAGTCCCTTGGACTGCAAGGAGATCCAACTAGTCCATCCTAAAGGAAATCAGTCCTGAATATTCATTGGAAGGACTGATGCTGAAGCTGAAACTCCAATACTTTGGCCACCTGATTCGAAGAACTGACTCATTGGAAAAGACCCTGATGCTGGGAAAGATTGAAGGCAGGAGGAGAAGGGGACGACAGAGGATGAGATGGTTGGATGGCATCACCGACTCAATGGACATGAGTTTGAGTAAACTTGAGGAGTTGGTGATAGACAGGGAGGCCTGGTGTGCTGCAATCCATAAGGTCGCAAAGAGTTGGACACAGATGAGTGACTGAACTGAACTGAGAGACTCGGAAAATTACCCAATCTTCACAGGAAAGAGAAAAGTATTCCTCATTCTATTCCCCAGAAAATCCTATCTTCGTAGTCAATCTGTGGGGATATATGGATGCAGTAACTCAATGAACATAAGTTTGAGCAAACTCTAGGAGATGGTGAAGGACAAGGAAGCCTGGTGCTGCAGTCCATGGGGTCGCAAAGAGCTGGACACAACTTAGCAACTGAACAACAACAACATATGCACATGAACTGACCTTGTCTTCCTCCTCTGACCTTCCCACCTTGAGCCGGGTGAGCACCCTTCAGAACTTCCTGCCCATATGCAAGGGTCCAGGCAACTTACACAACCTGTAAAGTGATCCACAGCCTGGACAGCACCTCCAAGCTCCGCCTTCCACTCTGGACTTTGGACCCTGTCTTTTATTTCTCAACTGCATTTCACATCTCATAGTGTCCTTTGGGATCAAAGACCAAGTTGGACCGCATGCCTGGCTTTTCTATTCTGGTTTCTTCATAAGATATCCTGTTTCCCTCTCTCTTAACCCACATCCTCTGAGCCGGGAGCAAATGAGTCTTCACTCCCTGGCAACAAACAAATGTAGGTATTTGGGTGAATGGGACATGCGTTTATTTGGAAAAGGAATAATAATAAAACTAAGGCTCTCTTTCCCAATGCACTGCTAACTCTCCAAGCAAAGCCGGAGGGGTTCTTGGGGCAGAGAAGGGTACCTGAAGGCTGTAAACTGAGACAGCGGGGGGCTTCCCTGGCGGCTCCGCCTGCCAAGCAGGAGATGCTGGTTCGCTCCCTGGTCCAGGAAGATCTCACATGCACCACAACTACAGAAGCCCGCGTGCCCCAGAGCCTGTGTTCCCCGGGAGAGACCACGGCACGCAGAAGCTGAGCCGCTCAACCAGAGAGCAGTCCCGGAGCGCCGCAGCCAGAGAAAAGTCCGCACAGTGACAGGGGCCCAGCACAGCCAAAAAGGAGTCAGTCTAAAAGTAAACAAACCGAGACGGGGGCTTCCCCAAATTTGGGAACAACATATTACTCTTAAACTGATTTTTGGTTGGAGTATAGTTGTTTTACAACACTGTGTTAATTCCCGCTCTACAACACGGGGAATCAGCTCTGCGGACACACACATCCTCGCCTTGGTGCGCCTCCCTCCCCCTCGAGGTCATCCCAGAGCTGAGCTGCCTGTGAGGTCCAGCCGCTTCACTTCCCACTAGCTGTGTCACACGTGGTCGTGTGTGTATCTCAATGTACTCTCTCGATTCGCCCCACCTTCTCCTTCACCCACTGTGTCTGCAAGTCCATTATCCACATCTCCCTCCCTCTAAAAGGAAGGAAGAAAGTGAAGCTGCTCAGTCGTGTACCATTCTTTGTGACCCCATGGACTGTAGCCCACCAGGCTCCTCCGTCCATGGAATTCTCCAGGCAAGAATACTGGAGTGGGTTGCTGTTTCCTCCTCCAGGGGGTCCTCCCGACCCTGGGATCGAACCCAGGTCTCCCGCACTGCAGGCAGACACTTTACTATCTGAGCCGCCAGGGAAGCCTATTCCTGCCCAGTACCAGTTTTCTAGATTCCATACATATGCAGGGAACAGATGTTCATTTTTAAAAACCTTCTCTCAGGCCCCAGAGAAATGGTTGATGAGGCAGAGTGCCCTAAGAGATGAAACAGTATCATCAGAAATCGTCAGTGAAGAGCACCACTAAGGCAAGGAAACGGAAACGTGGGTGGGAGACCTTCCCGTTTTCTAGCCCAGGCAAGAGCTAAAGTTTGTGTTCCTATTAGGGAACTATTGTACTTTCAAGACATGGATACAAAATCCGAACACCATCTGGGTTAGAGCAAGAGATATTTCTACATGTTACAGCTGCTAAACATGGCAGGATTTTAACTGAGTTCTTGGACTGGGCACTCTAGGATTCTGACACGAAGACGTAATTAATCTTAAGGCTGGGTACTAGAAAGTCGATTACGCCTCCACGTAGCATTGGTACAAGAAGTCTCAGGGCTGACAGCTTTATTTTACTTTATTTATTTTACTTATTTGTTTTATTTTTACTTATTTTATTTACTTATTTACTTTATTATTTTGCTCTTTAGCCAGGAGCTATTCTTACCTAGTAAAGAGAGAATGGAAAAACAAAAAACAAAAAAAAGTGCCTCTGACTCCATCCTGTTATTTGCATCAACCAAAAAAGCTTTGTTTGAAACTTTCTTTAGAACACTATAAAATGTCTCCAACTTTCCCAGAAAGCACATGAGATTCTATTGCCAACTCTTCAAACCCGAAAACAATTTCACAAGAAAAATCCCTCAAACCATCATTAAGATGTCACCGTAGGTCATCAACAAAATGCTCTTCTTTTCCGAGATTGCATTACATTTTGGAATTGATATAATGAAAACCTTTCTGTAGTTTTTTTTTTTCCTTTCATTTGCCAAGCTAAATTTTCAAAGAGTGCCGTCTTTGGGTTTATTTTTTTTAATATCCGTGGACGTCCAAGTCAGAATGCTCTAGAAGCTCGCTATGCACTGGCCCTGCACAGACAGAAGTATTTGCTTTCTTCTTCCAGCCACCTGGGTGGCATCAAGAGTCTCCAACTCAAGTTCAGGGTCTGAGAACTCAACCCAAGCTTCTTGCCGAGCTCAGGCTGGAAATCATTCCAACAGGATGGGCGTTGCAAGAGTGCAATGCTTATGGACTGGGAGGCCCTTTCAAGTGTCTGACATTGTGTCTGACAAACACACTTAGTCTCCCACCCCAGGGAGTTTTCTGTCCCTCTTTTGCCAAAGGAGCCAGAGCTCCACACACCATGTACTTTCCAGCTCTCATTCATATTCAAACTGGCATCAACCCTGCAACCTGAAGCTTACTTATTCCAACACAAAATACTGCAGTTTCTCTTATTATTTGAGTCGGTTTGGAACCTGAAGCTTACTTATTCCAACACAAAATACTACCATTTCTCTTATTTACTTCAGTCACTAGGTAATTTATCACATCAAATGTCATTTTCTTGCAGTTTTTTATTGAAGTGTAGTTGATTTACAATCGTAATTTCTGCAATACAGTAAAGTGATTCAGTTATACCTATATATAGGTATAATATAATTTTAATATTCTTTTCCACTATGGCTTACCCTAGGATGCTGAATACAGTGCTCTGTGCCTTTCAGCAGGCCCTCGTGGTTTATCCATCCCACATAGCATAGCTCACATCTGCTAATCCCAAACTCCCACTCCACCCCTTCTCCAACCCCCTCTCCCATATCACATCAGATTTTAAACCTCTGACTTACTCTTCTGAGAGCATTGTACAACTTAAATCCACCCAAGAGCGTGCTGTATCCAACATGACAAAGTAGTTTTATGTCCGAATAACTCTCCTGATGATAACAATCTTAAAACTCAGTGCAAATATTCAAAAGCAGTGGAGAACAACCAGAGCATACAAAACCTGGATGGAATATGACCCTTAAGAGAAAGGGACACATGCTCGGCAAGCTCTATATGGGTCCAGCTTTCCTCCTGAGGGAAATCTCCAATACTTACAAATTCCAGGAATTGAGCCTAAACGGAAAGCAGTAGTCATAGTGAATTCAGGAGACAGAGTCCAGAATTCACAGCTTTAACAGCAGCTGGAAAATAATCCTAGAAAGGAGGGAACCACAGACTGTGAGCCCCAAATTCCACCCAAACAGCCCTGTAAAGGTAAGGTGTATGGGATTCCCACACACCTTAAAGAATCTGCCTGCCAATGCAGGAGACTCAGGTTGATCCCTGGGTTGGGACGATCTCCTGGAGAAGGGAATGGCAGCCCACTCCAGGATTCTTGCCTGGGAAATCCCATGGACAGAGGAGCCTGGTGGGCTACAGTTCACGGACTCATAAAAAGAGTCAGACACGACTTAGCTTCTAAAAACGTTGGTGTATACCTGAGCAGCCTGTGTGTAGATCAGAGCTCAGAGAAGTCTTGTGGAAAGCAGCAGAGAGAGTGGTTGAACTGCTCACAGAGATTCAGAAGCTACCTTGTACTTGCAAAGTCAGCCAGGTTAGAGGGGGTTTTCTGTTGAAACACAGAAAAGCAAAACTTAAGTAGATAGGCCCTTACAGAACTCACCATCAAGGTGGACTGCTGGGTCTCTACCTGCTGCCAAAAGAAAACTCAACCCACTTGGAAGGAAAAATCTTCCAGAGACTCTAAACTTATCACTTAGTCAAGGATAAAAAGAGAGTCAGTTGACTGTCAACGAAGAGAGACAGCCAACAAGAGAACTGGGACCCCAATCCTGTCTCATTGGCAGGAACATGAGTTTGAACCATATGGAGTTGCCGTTTCTATACGTTAAAAACAGTCAAAGTGAAAGTCGCTCAGTCGTGTCTGACTCTTTGTGATCCCATGGACTGTACAGTCCATGGAATTCTTGAGGCCAGAATACCAGAGTGGGTAGCCTTTTCCTTCCTCTAAGTGATCTTCCCAACCCAGGGACTGAACCCAGGTCTCGCACAAAGAAGGTGGATTCTTTGCTAGCTGAGCTACCGGGGAATCCAAAAACAAACACTGGCAATTTCATGTCGTTCTATCCAACAGTCAAGACACACATGCTGCAATATGGATTTCAAATTTTCCTTCCCCTCTGTGCTCACATCTGTAAGATGTAAATAAGTTGTTGGTGTGGAAAATTAAAGCCCGTGAACCTAATGCTTTGCGTAAGGGAAACAAGACAGATGAATAATCAGGGTCTGCAGGCATTTTCGTTTTGTTCTTTAACTTCTCAGCCGATTATCTTCATGGGCGTAAACACGTCCTCCGCCCTGTCCCCAGCTTTTTCCCAGGCGGCTTCTTTTTCTCTCTGGGGCTTACCAGCTCTCTGCCTCGTTTCCTTCACCTTCTCTCTAGTTCGCTTGTGTTTATTTTTTTTCCGGCCCGTAAGGGACTGCACAAGCTTCCGGGCCGCGTGGTGTATCGGATTGTTCTGTGAACAATACGGAGAAACAGAGAGGCGGTGGGAGTCCTGGAAACACCGTGGGCTCGGGTCCGAGAGGGCTTTCTGTGCCCGAAACGCCCAGCGAGAACATCTGGGGCTACTCGCAGCTGCAGAGAGCGCGGTTCGTGCAGGACAAAGCCCTTTTATCTAAAGGAAACCGAGGCTTCCATCACTGCAGAGTCACAAGCGCGCCCTCTCCTGTTGGCCGGTAGCGTGTGCCCGCTGGCCGCTCGGCACGTCCAGGGAAAAAGCCCTCAACGTTAGGCCGGGAGCCCTGCAGGGAGGGCTTCCCGGAAGGCTCGGAGGCAATCCTGCCCATCCAGGAGTCCGCCTGCCCATCCAGGAGACGCGGGTGCGACCCCTGGGTTGGGACGATCCCCTGGAAGAGGGAGTAACGACCCGCTCCAGTGTTCCTGCCCGGGAAACCCCGCGGACAGAGGAGCCTGGCGGATTCCAGTCCCTGGGCTCTCAGAGTCAGACACGACTGGGAGACTTCATAGCACGCAGTGCCGCGACCAGGCACACAGACGTGTGCACATCGTGGACACGTAATCGCCTCTAAAGTGGAGGGACGGCTCCAAACAGGAGACGCCGTGGGAGGCACTGCAGAACCTGGCTTTCCATTGCGGCTTAAAAACAGCAGCGACCATTCCTATCCACTGCAGCGTAGGAATGAAAACTCTCCAAGCTTCTCCTTTTCATCTCTGAATCCCCTTCTGTGGAAAGGGTGGAAACGCTAGCGTTTGGGGGGCCTGGAGTCTCGTGTTTTTGAGCTGATGGTGCACAGGAAGCAAAGAGAGCCGCCCTCCAGAGGGAGCGGGACCTCCCAGGACTCTGGGCCCCGAACCAGCCTTGTCATCACACCCCTTTCATTTCCAGTTCTCAGCGTCACAAGACACCTCTGAGCCAAACTCCATTACCCAGACGCTGATACAGCCAAGATCTCCCTCTGCCTGGAAGATATCTCCGCCTTCGTCAGTACCCTCCTCCCAAATAGGGTCATAAGCTGAAGACTCAAAATTTTATACAGAAAAGCTCTGTGGTCATTTAAGTGTCTCTTGGGTTTGTTAGAATGGGATTCTCTCTCCTAACAGTTGGCACTCAAATCACGAAGATCAATTCACAGTATCTCATATTTTAGAAATCCTCACTCAATATTTGCTTTTACTGTTATTAAATAAACTTTGTTTTCTTAGTAATACAAGTTCCTGTGTTGGTGTGTGATAGTGTTTTCCGGTATCGTGGCAGTTAAGGGACAAACAAACAAAAAAAAACGATGGAAAATCCACAATATTGCTTAGAAGCAAATGATCAGCTGAACAGACCATCACACATTCAGGTTGCCTGGGTTTCAGCGACCTGTTTCTGCTCCAGTGAAGTGGTCCCCAGGTGGAAGGACTGTGTCCTTCGGGGCGCGTAGGTCCCCTGGAAAGGTTTCCTATTATCACCACTTGGGGAAGGGCGATACAGCTGGTATGCAGTATACAGAGGTCAGTGACACCACCGGAGAGAACCGCCACCCGCACCAAGGCCCCACTGTGGCGCCGAGGGGACTGTGCTCAGCACCCTGTGTGTGCGTGCTGAGTCACTTCAGTCCTGTCCGGCTGTGACCCCATGGCCTGCAGCCCACCAGGCTCCTCTGCCCATGGGATTCTCCAGGCAAGGATGCTGGAGTGGGTTTCCATGCCCTTCCCAAGGGGGTCTTCCTGACCCAGAGATCGAATCCACATCTCTTGCTTCTCCTGCCCTGGCAGGTGGGTTCTTTACTAACTGTGCCATGAAGCCATGGGTAGATGCCAACTAAATAAACCAGTATTCACTTAGTAAGTGGACTGTGAATGAGTCAAGTACTCAATAAGCAGTGCTAGGAGTGACAGTCGTGACGATAGCCCAACTAAAACAAAGACCTCGCCCGTGAGTCCGAGAGTGAACCAAAAACACGAGTGACTCCACCCTGGTGGGATCTGGAGATACATGGGACTTCTACTATCTGCTGATGAGGTCAACTGATTGTGCTGGGTAAAGCTTGGACTAAATGTTCTCAAAGATCCTTTCCAGTTCCTAAATTCCAGGAGAATAAGAACTGTCAAATGGTCCGATTGTAGAAGTCAGGAAGTTTCTATCCCTCCAGGGCGCCCCAGAAAGGTCATGGAACTGGAATCGCGGAGCTGTTTCTAGAAGAGGAACAACACGCCCCTCTCCCCAGCTGTACCCCCGCTTGTTATTTACAACACAAGAGCGCTTTGTTCCTGCACCTTTCTCTGAAGGAACAAGGGAGGCTGTCTCTAAAATTCCCAGAATGTACATCCGCGATTTCTTTTGTCTGTTCCCCGCCCCGCCCCGTCCCAGGCCCTCCCAAAGAAACAGCCAAGGATGGCAAGAATCTTCAGGATGTGAATTATGGCCTTTGACAGTATTTGGTCTTCTTCCAGTTCTGCCTTGGATCTTTGACCTCAGTGTGGAAAACAGAAACGCCTTGTTTCTACTGAAAAGAGCAAGTAGGTTTTCTTCTTTTCTTTAACTTTCTCTTCTGTGTTGGGGTTTAGCCGATGAACAGTGCTGCGATGGTTTCAGGTGGACAGGGAAGGCACTCAGCCATGCGCACCCGCATGTCCAGGCTCCCCCAAACTCCCCTCGCGTCCAGGCTGCCACAGGACACCGAGCCGAGTCCCCTGGGCTGTGGGGCGGGTCCTTGCTGTTTTCCTTTTTAAACAAAGCCGCGTGCACATGTCCGTCCCAGACCCCCTGTCGCGTCCCCCCAGCCTTCCCCACCTTCCACAGACACAACCGTCCGGAGTCTGTACGAGATGAGGACGCAGGCTTGCGGCCGGCGCCACCTTCTGGCCCACTGTGGGCAGATCCCCTGTTTGCACTCGGCATCAGGGAGGCAGGAGAGGAGACGTCAATATTTCAAACGGCAACAGGATCTTAGTACGAGTTAGGTGTTCCCTATGAAACACATCAACATAGATGTTTTTAAGTTAAAAATAGAGTTGCCATAGGATCCTGTGATCCCAATCCTGGGCCATCTGGAGAAAGCTCTAAAAGATACAGGCATCCCTACGTTCACTGCAGCACGATTCACAGCAGCCAGGACATGGAAGCAACCGAGATGTCCATTGACAGGCGAATGGATAAAGAAGATGTGGTCCATCCATACAATGGAGTATCACTCAGCCATAAAAAGGAATGAAACACATACAGAGGGAAGTAAGTCAGAAAGAGAAAAACAGATATCATACAATTAATGATATATCAGGAATCAAGAAAGATGGTACTGATGAGCCCATATGCAGGGCAGCAAGCAAAATGCAGACATAGAGAATAGCCTTGTGGACACGGGGGCAGGAGAGGGTGAGAAGAGCTGAGAGTAGCATTAAATATACACATCACCATATGCAAAACAGATATCCCGGGGGAATCCGCTGTGTGGTGCAGGGAGCCCAGCCCTGCTCTGTGACACGCTGGAGGGGTGGGATGGGGTGGGATGGGGAAGAGGCTCAAGAGCGAGGGGACATGTGCATACCTGTAGGTGATTTGTGTTGACGTATGGCAGAAACCCACACAATACTGTAAAGCAATTATCATCCAATTAAAAATAACTTTTTAAAAAAAGGAATGACATAATGCCATCTGCAGCGACATGGATGGACCTAGAGATGATCTTACTGAGAACTGAAGTCAGAGAAAGACAAACACAACATGATACCGTGTACGTGTGGGATCTAAAATGTGATGCAAATGGACTTACCTACAAAACAGAAACAAGACTCACAGCCCAGAAAAGAGGCCTGTGGCTGCCAAGGGGGAGGGGACGTGGGGGGAAGCGTGGACGGGAGTCTGGGATTGGCAGACGCAAGCTGTTGCCTATGGAGTGGGTAAGCAGCAAGGCCCGCTGAATGGCACGGGGAACTATATCAGTATCCTATCATAAGTGAACAATCACGGGCTAGAATCTGAAAAAGAATATATACAGCCGAATCCCGTTGCTGTACAGTAGACATGAACACAATATTTAAATAGTAAATCAACTCTACTTCAATACAATTAATTTAAAAAAATTTTTAAATTAAATAACTGCAAGATTTTAAAGAAACAAAAAATACAGAGAGACATTTTTAAAAGAAGCATGCCATCAAGACATATTCATAATAAGCTTACCTGATTTGTCACAAGGTAAATTCTTAGACTATGTTTATTTCCTGTTTAACAAAATTCTATATGGAAACCTCATTTCTAGGTTTTTTCCCTCGCCCAGGGATACACAGCTGTCAAGAGGACAGGACCTTCAGGTACAGAGCAAAGTAACTCAGCCTTTCCCAAAGTGTGTTCCCTGGAACACCAGTTCTTTAAGATGTTCGGTGGGAAAAAAAAAGAAAAAAAGTGTCTTTACTCCAACAAGTTGGAGAAATACTGTGTTGTATTTGCCTTCTAGAAGAGGCACTGTGCATACAATCTTATGAAGGATTAAGACACTTGGAAGTAAAAAAAAAAATCCAGCAGATTAAATTTTGCTTCCCATCAAAATTTCCAAACTTCACGCACCAAAGACTATTTCTGTAGAGGACCATGTAACGAGGAGCATGCAGGAGTCAGGGATCTAAGGAACACGACGCGCAAAACATCGCTCATAGAGACGCGGGCGTGTGCGTTGCTTGTTCTCGTTGGTAGTAATTTCCCAGAACCGGGGGACGGGCCTCGGGAGGGACCGGACACGTGGCTGCTGTCTCACAACGTGAGCAACTCTGTGAGCGGAGAGCAGAAAGGAGACGCAGATTCCGCAGGCCCTGGAATCGCTGAGGCCGCATCTGTACATCCTCCCCTGGTGGCTCAGACCGTAAAGAACCCGCCTGCCGATGCAGGAGGCTTGGGTTTGACCTCTGGGTGGGGAAGATGCCCTGGAGAAGGGAGTGGCCACCCACTGCAGTGTGCTTGCTGGAGAATCCCATGGATGGAGGAGCCTGGTGAACTGCAGTCCGCGGGCCACAAAGAAATGACTGACACAACACAAGCGTTGCCCGCGACAGCCATCTGAGTAATCCAGATGAGACCACAGCTGTCGTTAGGACAGCAACAGAGTCAGCCTCCCCGTAAACCACTTAGGAAGTGAATCAGCCCGCTGCTATCTGAAGAGCTTTGCAATCCCATAGACTGTATCCCGCCAGTCTCCTCTGTCCATGGGATTCTCCAGGCAAGGATACTGGAGTGGGTTGCCATTTCCTCATCCTGGGGGTCTTCCTGACTCAGGGATCAAACCCAGGTCTCCTGAGACTCCTGCGAATTCTCTACCACTGGGCCACCAGGGAAGCCCATCTGAGGGGCTGGATTCTATTTATTTCCTTATTTATCTTTTGGCCACGCTGCACACGAGAACTTAGTTGCCTGAACCAGGGATCAGATCCAAACTCCCTGCTTTGGGAGTCTTCACCACTGGATTGCCGGGGAAGTCCCTGAAGGGCTGGGTTCTAACATGAGCATTGTAATATTTTGTCTCCACCGAACCTGGTAGCGTTCTTGCTGTATCTATCACTCTTCCAAAAAGGACTGGAGCTTTATTTCTTTTCTGTAAAATTAGAATGCCTGTGCTGGACTTGGCTTTCCAAGGCTCTATCAGCCTTAAAAAAAAAATTGTTACACAAACAAGTGAAAAAGAAATCCATCACGTTCTCCTGTTTGATGCCTCTGTAGAATTTTAAATTTGTAAGGGAACTTCTTTGTATGTTTTCCATGCTAAACATAACTCCTTTTAATTTCTCGGTCACTGTTGTGGGATACTGTGCTTTCCGGTTTGGAGGAGAGAAAGGGAGGATTATATACCATAATCATCGTCTGGGAATTTGCAAATGGGTTTATCTGGCTGAATTTTGTGGAGGGTTAAGAAAACCTTCTTGGAGAAATGCAGTGTGCTTTGCCCTCAAGAGTAGTAAATTACAGACTGACCACATTTCCCTTTCCACTTGACCTTCATCTTCCACAGAGAATTCTTCTGCAAGGATTTGGCTCCCTTTATTTTGCTACTTTAAGCAAAAAAGATTAAGCACCATGCCCCAGAAAACTACTCTCCTCCTCTGGGTGTTCAGAGCACTCACAATCACACCGAAACTCATCAAGGGGTGTATTATTGCGAGTTGTCATACACTGTCGTGATCAGAGGTCCCATCTTCTTCCTCCCAAGAAGTTCAGTCGAAAGCGTCGTCTCCCGGGGGCCTCCCTGGTGGTCCAGTAGTTAAGAATCCGCCTGCCAATGCAGGGGACACGGGTTCGATCCCTGGTCCGGGAAGATCCCCCATGCCATGGAGCACTAAACCCGCGCGCCCCAACTACTGCGCCTGCTCCCTGGAGCGCCGGAGCTGCAGCGCGGAAGCCCACGTGCCCGGAGCCGGCGCTCCGCGAGGAGAGGAGGCCCAGCGCGGAGGGAGGCGCGCGCCGCCGCGAAGCCCAGCCCCGGCTCGCGGCAACCCGAGAAAGCCCGCGTGCGGCAGCGGGGACCAGCGCAGCCAAAATTCAGTGCAGCTCAGGCGCGTCCGCCTCTTTGCGGCCAAAAATAAATAAGTAAATTAAAAACAATTTTAAAAAAAATATGAAGCATCAACTCCCAGAGGGAAGCGCTCATTTCAGTAAAATCCAGAGGGAAACTGCACTCCTGCTTTCACACTAGGATGCTGCACTGCGTTCCCCATCCCCACCCCCCGCTCCCGCACCGCGCTCCGGAAAATCTGTCTACCGTCAAGGAGACGCGCGTGGTCACTTCTGCCACGCTGACCTAAGGGTCGGGGGATCGCTGTCATAATTGCTACCAGCATGCCTCAAAGTCAGAGATTTGAGAGCGGGAGTGTAAAGTCACGTTGAAATCCAAAGAGCTTATCTTGGACTGCCTAAGAAGAAGATCGCCTGGCATTGCCAGCTAGTAAGCATTGTTCTGTATATAAGCTAGTTACAGACTTTTCGGCAAAGAGGGGCCTCACTGGGAAAGACCCTGATGCTGGGAAAGGTTGAAGGCAGGAGGAGAAGGGGACGACAGAGGATGAGATGGCTGGATGGCCTCACCGACTCAATGGACATGAGTCTGTGCAAACTCCGAGAGACAGTGAAGGACAGGGAAGCCTGGCGTGTTGCAGGCCAAGGGGTCTCAAGGAGTCGGACACGACTTAAGAGACGAAACAAGAAAACTTTTCCAGAGAAGTTCCTGCCAGTCTGATCGAGTCCCCACGCGCCTGCAGGACCTCGGGCAGCTGCAAGCGTCCCGAAGGGCAGGTATGCTGTCTGACCAGCGGCAGCCGTGCTGGCCTTCTTGTTCCTCCAGCTGTGACTGGGGCAGAGAGAGGCCCTCAGGGGACGGAGACCAGGCTTTCAAAGCGCTTGACGCACTGCCTCGTTTTTCTTTAGAATCCTGAAAAGAAAAAAGAAAAACCAGGATACTGAGAGTTTAGCAGGAACAAGATTCCCTCAAGTAACGTTTCCACTTCATTCCCCCCTAAAATGGTGACTCTCCAAGGATTCTAGAAAGTTCCGTCTCAATTCCTGGGCTCTGAGGCCCAGGACCCCCAGAGCCCCTCTCCGTCAGACTTGAAATCCCACCCTTTGCCGCCGGCAGGTGCGAGGCAGGCAAGGGTGACAGAATTCCCGCAGGGAGAGCCAGCTCGCCTCTTTACCTGACGTGGAGACTGTGGTAGCTGCTTGGCCTCGCGAGGCTCTCAGCCCTCCTTATAAAGTCCTCCTGCTGCTCCGCACAGGTTTCTGTCTTTTCCCATCAGCTCCTGTCTCAGTCTTTACTTAACGTGCAACCCTCAGTCCCAGGGAAGCTCAAGAAAGGGCTTCTAGCATACGCAGGGGTCTCATCGATGCCTTCTCAGTTTCAGGGGGCATTTGTGGTCAACACGGAACCCTAAGGCTCTCTTAATTTCTGCCCTCCTTGACTGGAGCTACTTTGCCTTATTGATATGCTTGAAATAGTTTAAAAAAAAAAAAATTATAGGCAAAGAGAAACATTGCCCTCTACAGGGCAAGTGAATCTCAGACTTTCATAGGCGATCATTTAACAAAGAACATCTTTAAAATGGAGTCTTCAGGAAGGAAATTCAAAAAAGAGGAGAGGTATGTATACGTGTGGCTGAATCACTTTGCTTACAGCAGAAGTTAACACAGCTATATATGCTCAGTCGTGTCCGACTCTGCGACCCCGTGGGCTGTAGCCCGCCAGGCTCCCCTGTCCCTGGGATTCTCCAGGCAGGAATACTGGAGTGGGTTGCCATTTCCTTCTCCAGGGGATCTTCCCAGCCCAGGGATCCAACCTGCATCTCTTGCTTGGCAGGCAGACTCTTTATCAGTGAGCCACCTGGGAAGCCCCTAAAACAACTATACTCCAATAAAAATTAAATAAACTAAAATAAGCAATGAAATGCTGGGTGTTAGCCTAGTCTGATAAAATACTAGAACAGGATAAACGGAGTGCTCACTCTTTTCTCCTGTGACACTGAGGTGAATGAATACAGCCTGCAGGCGGTCTTGTCTCCACCGCTCACTCAGTCCTCAAACAGTCATGGACTGAATCAGAAGCACGCGTCTGTGGGATGTGCCCAGGGCCTCCCAGCCCCAGTTTTAAAGGACATTGATCCAGCCGAGGCCTGTGTGAATCCCATCCTTCCCAGTATTTCCCTGTCTCTCCCAAGCAGGTCAGTATGTGGAGCCTGCCTGAGGTGCAGCGTGAATGGGGCCGTGTTTCTGCAGTCCTCCTGCTAAATGAGGCCATATAATGTGCAGTTGATAAAAATAGCCCTACAACAAGCCCCTCCAACCCTATGTCCTTTGAGCCATTGAGACGATGCCTCTCAGGTTAATCTTACTACAACACCAATCTGTGCTATCCACAAGCCATCCAATCAAGGCCGCAGCACTTGACCTCAAGCCAGGAAGCCCCTCCATCCTCATACAACCCTGTCACGCCTGTTTTCGCCCCGCATGTCCCCCACCCTTGCAGGCCATTGGGGATGTTCTATTCCTGACGCATGTGGTTATGCCCTGTCCAGCTTTGAGCAAACGCCCTGTGCTGGCAGAAGTAGTCTCTTTCCTCTTCCCCTCCGCTTCCTTTTAAGAATGACTTCAAGTTGCCCAGGGTCCATCCTTGAGATTCCCAGGACCCCAGAGTCAGACTCCATTCACCCATCTCCGCCACTTCCTAGCTGGTGACCGTGGACAAGTCACTTAAATTATCTGTGTTCCATCGTCCTCAACTACAACATGAGGATGATACTAATACCTTCCTCTAAGAGGTGGTGTGAAAATTAAACGAGTGACTATATGATACTTGAAACCGCATCTGACATAGTAAATGCTCTCTAGATTTAACTGTTACCAAAAGTTTCACCATCATCAAAAAATGCTTCGTCATCCTTATCAGCATCATTTCCTGATCAAACTTTCTTTAGATCTTCTAGTACCTCAGTCAAAGGCGTGCACTCAGTCGTGTCTGACTCTTTGCGACCCCATGAACTCTGGCCCAGCAGGCTCCTCCGTCCATGGGATTTCCCAGGCAAGAATATTGGAGCGGGTGGTCATTCCCTCCTCCAGGGGATCTTCCAGACCCAGGGCTCGAACCTGAGTCTCCCGCATTGCAGGCAGATTCTTTACCACTGGGAAGCCCCTCAGAAAAAGAGGTAAAAGCCAAAGTCCCGCCTCCAGTGGTCTGTAAGTCCGATACAACCAGCCCCTAATTACCTCCTTGACCTTAAAACCTACGCATGTTTCCCCACCCCCATCACTCAGCTCGCCCGTGCGGCTTCCCCGTCACTTCAGATACAGTCTCAGCTCAGGGTCTGTGCACACTCTGCTCTCTGCACCCCGAAACCTCTCCCCCGAATATCTCATGGCTGGTCATCTCACCTCCTCCGGCCTTTGCCCAAATCCCGTCTTTTTAGAGGCCTGCCCACGCACCCCAGAGAGAATTGCAGCC